AAATACTTTTATAGTATTTTGTCTCATTAAGACTGTTATCTATTTATACATACCCCACAAAGCACCCCATGACAAGGATTCCATTCTATTGAGAGTGAAGAGAATGTAGTCAAAACTGCATCATTTTTATCACTGTTTTTGTGATCATTTACCAAAATCCTGTTAAGCTAGCTTAAATATATATTAAATATATCTATTCCTGGAGGAACAGAATTTATTTGGGTCTCAAAAGAGGCTAGAAACAGAACTTTATTCTAGAGTCATATGTGCTGTATTTCTGCTTCTCTCTCTGTTTTGCCTGTTTTATTCTTTACACTAGAGATCAGGTTTTTTCTATTTCAGCACACTATGACCCCTTACCAATTTTGGATGACTCCCAGTTCAACATAAAATTAAATTAGACTCTGGATTCCTTGGTTTAAATGACCTGAAGGGTGAATCTGATAGGCCATTGACCCAGTAATGAATTGTCTCCATCTAGATCTAGCCCTGGTCTACTTAGCTGTGTACAAAGGCATGGAACCATTTAGTAGGTAATAAGTAGGCTTCCCCTCCTGGCAAACCTTGTATAGGATGGATCTCTAAGAGCAGTGAACAGGGTGAAGACTAGCTCCAAGCAAGTTACTAGTCTACTGATAGTCATAACATGAATATAGCCATTTTTTATAGAAACAGTCAAGATTACATTTACATTTTTTCTGTCCAACTGGATATATGCAAATGCAATACAAATTACCTTAGGATAATTTTGTGGAAACTTCCTAAACTCATCTATTTAAGTAGGGCTTTTAGGAAAATGCTGCTTGATGTCCAAGCATAATGCAATTCTATAAATAATGTGTTCTTTAAATTTTAATTTCTGATTTTAGGACTGAAATATGATATTTACCTTTAAAGAATTGTGATGTGGGAATAATTGTTTGTTTAAAAATATATTTATCTGACACTTTTCAGTGGAATCCATGTGCCCACCCAATGGGTACCTGACATGTAGCAGATGGTCCATATGTGTTTGTTAAATGATTGATGCTGAGTTTCACAAGCCTCTTAAGAACCATACTTGCCTGTTTTATTCAGGGAATAATTTGTGTTATACAGTTCTTTGACTTTCCTGCTTGTGTCATGCTGCCCAAAATGTGACAATTTTGTTCAACATTAGAACCAAATCAAATTATAAAACTTAAGTCAGCCAACAGCACTGGCAAGAGGTTGATGGAGGCAAATGGAAAAAAACAGTGGAAAGTTTGAAACTAAATATGGATTTTTTTGGATTGCCTGTAGACTTTAGTCATGGATTCAGCTCACTTGCCATTATTAGCATAGGTAATTAACAGTCGGTGGACTGGATTTCCTCCTATTCTCTAGTTCTATCATCTTTCAAGTGAGTTTAGGTGAGGCTGATCCTATAAATGGATTTCTAGCCTAGACACACTGGTAACATTCCAGGGAATGCCAAGTGGAAAAGCAACCGAGGATGATAAGGTGGCCTCTTTTTCCCTTTGCAGTTTGCTACTGACAGCTCACATTGGGAAATAGCACCTGCTTGTCCATGGTTATAATGTGGTGTCATTAGATACCATTATGACAGAGTCTAATGTGTCAGCTTTGGTTTCAAAATATGTTTCTACCAGCTTCTATTTCTATTTCATTTTATCTGGTTCTCTTTAATATATATATATCTTATATTTCTGTATCTTGGCTTATATATCCTGTTGATTTTTTCTCTTCTAAGATTCTTGAGATGAGTGTTTATTCTCTAGCAATAATCAGTGAAGCTATTTGGGAAGTAACTGGTTTTGCTATTTTACTTACTGTGCCCTTCAAAGCACAGCACACAAACAGATTCTCTGAACTATTAGGGAGAAACCTTTGGCTCTAGCCACAAAAGACACAGTGTATTACATATACGCCACAAAATTCCAGGGAAACTCAGTCCTCATACATTTTACAAACATTCCATTTAGCAAAATACACAAACAGGTTGCTAAAGGCTGAACATTTGTACTCCCTCCCACTTTGTCCCCTCCCCCATCCCCCCCAATTCACCTTGAAATTCTAGTCTTCAAGGTAATGGTGGTGGGGTCTTCAGATGTGATTAGGTGTAGCCCTCATAAACAGGACTAGTGTCCTTAAAAAAAGGTCCAGGAGCTCCCTTGCCTCTTCCACCACTGAGAACACAGCAAAAAGACCACCATTAGGAACCAGGACGGCTCCCATCAGTCATGGAGTCAGCTAAAGGGCTGAGTTCACAGACATGAGAACTGTGAGAAATAAATTGTTTGTAAGCCACCCAGTCTATGATATTTTCCCTGTAATAGCCCAAACAAAGACAGGTTGTCATCATTTTCAAGTTCATGTTCCTAATACCAGTGGACACCTGTCTCTACCACAACTCCCATTCATCACAGGAACTTCTTTCTTTTTCTTTTCTTTTTTGGTAGTCAGCTCTTCTGTAGCTGCTTTTACTATTACACAGTTATATTATCCTTTTTAGTCACACTGGATTACAACACATGCTTTAATATATATATATATATATATATATATATATATATAATAGTTTATTTTTACATCATTTTGTGCATTTTTCATCTCAGTTGTAATCCCCGTGGGCTTCCTGTCACCAAATCACCCATGTGCCATCACCATAGTCCAGTGCATTTCCCATCCCCCACTGTTTTTGATCCCATTCCCCACTTCACCCCCATAAAATGTCTCTGGTATATAGCTGTTCATTATTATTATTATTTTCTCACCAGCTCTGTTATACTCCTGCTATGAGTGAAACCGTCCGGTATTTTTCCTTTTCTTTCTGACTTATTTCACTAAACATGATCTTCTCTAGCTCCATCCATGTTGCTGCAAAAGACAAGTGTTTATTTTTTTTTGGTTGCTGAGTAATATTCCATTGACAACACATGCTTTTTAATATCTATGTGATCAAATATGTGCACCTGTGTAATCCTCAAAAGGTCCTATACCCTTACCACATCCATTCTTCCTGCTATGTTATCATTCATAAAAGCCAAGCCAAAGTTTCACTACTAGCAAGAAACTTAGAATACAACTTTGGGCTCACAAATTGCTACCTTCCTTGAACAGATGTATCTGCTTACTCATTTTTATGACAGTCTTCCCAGGATAAATTTAGAGAGTAGCAACCAATTTTCTTATTAGGTGGGTGCCCTGGTATATAGAAATAACTGCGCGAGTCAGCAAATGAGTACATTTCCCCCATTTATTGGGACTCTGCTTTATTTGATAAATTAATTGTTGGGGAGAAAATGGGTGTGGTCATGCCCAAAGGTTGTGAGCCGGGTCTCTCTCTGTGTGTGTGAGGGGGCGTGTGTGTGGCAGAGGTGACATTATATCGCTCTTTGCACACATAGCAGATTTTCCTTTGGAAGCTCTTTGTGGAAGTGTTCCCATGTTATGATATTCTTCAACCCACAAAGAATCCATCTTAAACCTTAGAATTCATCACACAAAATTGGAACACATTGACCACTGAGTGGCAACTCAGTTTTTGCAGAATCAGAAACATCTAATGTTACACTTTCCAGCCTCCTGATCTTTTTCTTTTCTTTCTCTCTACCGTTCATCTATTTTTCCATATTACCTTTTTGAGTTGCTAATGCTTGAACATAGGCTATGCCCATGGGGAACCTGGTAGTTGGCAAAAACCTGGATGTCTCTGAGTTGTAACTCTCCAGTTCTCTAAATTTCTTTTTTTTTCTTTGATATTCATTACATTGAAAGGGCCCAAGGACAATGTAATAATGCTCACCGAGAGTATGACTGTTATTTTATTCTAATACTAAGTTCAAAAATTAGCACAGTTGCATCTACATATCTTAAAGGCTGATAATTCTTATGCAGTACATATGGAATTTTAGATCAAATACATTAAGGAAATATTTACTGCATGTCTTTATGTATGGGGAAAGAGAATACAATGTGAACATGTCAGAAAGTTCCCTGGTTTCCTAAACTAGGCAAGCCAGGAGCAGAATGACTCCATAGATTCATGTACTCCGTAAGTCGGAGAGAAAATAGTGTTGCAAACAGGAAGGGAATATGTATTTGCCATGTTTTGTAGTATACCACAGACAGAATTTACAGAATTGTAAAAAAAAAAAAAAAAGACATTTCAGGTCAGTTATTTCCATTCAAGAAATTCATGCTTACTGTTTTTCTTCAAAATTTCTAGAAGTGAGTTCATCACTCTTCTTTGAAATTCTCTTAAATCTGGTATTGTTCAGACTCTATGCAACTTCTCATCCTATTTGTAGCTTCCAAAGTTAAGACCTCTCTGCTGAAATACAGCCTTAGGGGCTTAAACTGTGTGTGAGGCAGAAACGGTATTTAAGCTCTTAATGAAATTAGGAGCTTTGAGAGTGGCATTTTGGGTTTACAGGAGTCTTCCTCCACTTGGGGTGGGGGAGAACGGTGTAAGGAAATTGGGAAATTTTCTTAAAGCAGTGTTTCCCTTTTATTATCCTCTCTTAAATTACGATTTTCATGAACTGGCGATTCATGAACAGCTCACATTACTTGAAGGCATCCGTCAATTTGGTGTGTTTTCCCCAACTTTCTAAGCAGTTTCTTTCTACTGGTCAAATTTTGCAGGCAGAAAAGTCAGCTGTGTCTCTGGCTGCTTCTCCAGAGTAGCGAAAGCGAAGCGAAAATAAAAAAGAGACGAAAAGAGCAACTAGGAGCGAGGAAACAGCAGGCAAGTTAAGAGAGAAAGGGGGGAGCGAGAAAATGAAGGCGGACGGGAGCACAGATTGCGGGGAACCCACCCAGAGCAGCCACCGTTGCAGAGCGCCCACTGGTCCCCAGAGCTGCCAATCGGGGCGTAATCCTGTAGGAATTTCTCCCGGGTTTATCTGGGAGTCACGCTGCCGCCTCCTCTCCCCCAGACGCCCGAGGAGCCGAGAGACGCGAGCGAGAAAGGGAGGGAGGGAGCGGGAGGAGGCGAGGAGGAGGACGCGGGGAGGGAGGCGGCGGCGCGGCGGAGGAGGGGCGCAGCCGCTGAGCCTCCAGCCCCGCTCGGACGCGCTTCAGTCCAGATACTCCCGGAGCTCCAGCCGCGCGCGTCGCGCGCCCCCACCGCTCTGGCCCCAAACTTCAGCTGCAGCTACATTTCAAGCCATCTAATTTATCTCTCAAGATCAGAAACTGAGCCGCGACACGGGGAAGGAGTCCGCGGAGGAGTAAAACAACAGCTGAGCTAGAAGAGCTCTGGAGAGCAGCCTCCTCAGAGCACTAACTCGGCGTCGCGAGCGCAGAAACCAACAAGTGAGAAGGCGCTGCGTTCCCAGGGCGCAGCCGAAGGCGGTGGGAGCAGGCGCCGGAGGAGCGAGTGAGCGCCGCCGAGCCCGGAACCCGAGCCGGAGCCGGAGCCGGAGCCCCGGAGCCCGAGCCTCGGTCGCTGCGGCTGCTCAGCTCCGGATCTTTCTGCGCGGACTGCGCGCGGCGCCGGGAGGAGGCTGCGTTTTGTCCTGGTTGCAGGCGGCGTCCGGGAGCAGCTGGTCTCCGGGGAATATGCGGCGCGCGTGGATCCTGCTCACCTTGGGCTTGGTGGCCTGCGTGTCGGCGGAGTCGGTGAGTGGGCCAGGCGGGGAACGCACACGTTTTCGGGGGTGCTCGAGGCCGACTGGAGCCCCCAGCGCCTGCAGGGAGCCTGGGAGCGCCGCCAGGGGGAAGCTTACCCTCATCCCCAGACGCGCGACAGCACCCACTCCTCGCCCCCCTCCGGAATCTTCTGGGGCAAATGCGCGTGTCGTACACCTCTTTTCCTTCCTTGGCTTCAGAAAAGCGCGGCTCACTAGAGTTGCTCATAGCTCCCCCGGGATGAGGGCGCGAGAATCGCAGTTTTGTCTGATCGCCGGGGCTCCGGAAGTCACCTCCAACTTCTTCACCCTCTGGGGGCCCTGCTGCTCGGGAGGGATGGAGGGGAAAGGGTAGCCGAGGAGCAAAGTCTGGGTTGGACCCGCGAGGAAACGGGCGCCTCCCGCGCGCTCCCCCTGCTCTGGATCGACCTGGGAAACTTGGGGTCTCCTACTCCGCACACCATTCTACCCCCGTCCCCAATCCCTTACTCCCCAGAAGGCAAAACCAACTTTCATACTGGAGTGAATACAAGTTCTGGTGAGATGGGGCCCAGATTAGAGAAATTCGCCAGTGTCGGGTGAGGAAAGTTTGTGAAGTTCTTTTGTTTGATGCTCTTGTGACTGGGGCGAGGTAGTAGACACTCTGTGGGAACACTGCCCGCCAAGGCGCAGTACGTGGCCTCGCCGGGGGTGCACGGGACGCGCCGGAAAATGCTGGGGCGCGGGTGGCTGGACGACCCTCCCCCCCTTTCTGGAGGCGAGGAGGGCGGCCGTCGAGCCCTTAGGGGAGGAGGACATTTTAATGCGCATTGCACTGGAGTGCTACCCCTGGGCGAGGTGGAGTGCGTGTTACTGTACTCGCTGGGCTTCGGGTCCCCTCGCCATTTGCGGATGGAGCTTCCAGCTCTCACGCTCCCCTGTCGGTCCCCGGCAGGGATGCTTTCGAGACCCGAGGACTCCTTCCCCGGCTCGGGCCGGCCGCCGCATCCAGCCTTTCCAGCCTTCCTCCCCGGGCCCTGCAGATGGAACTTGGCTTCTTTGCTGCTGGGTTGCATTTCTGAGGTTGGAGCTAGTTCCCGGCTTCGCCCAATGAGCGCCCTCTGAAGGGAGCTGCCTCTTGGGCTTCCCCTGTGCGCGGCGGCCCTACCTGGGCTCTCTTAGCTTTGTCTGGCTGTGTGGAAGCCCAGTCAACCGGAATTCACTGTGCAGCTTCAGTGTGGTTTTGGGCTTGGCTTAAGCCGCTGTTTCTGTCCCTTCCAGTTTCTCCAGTCTCCTCCCTTGGCCACCTAATAACTTGTCCATTTCTAATTAACTGAGCTATTTCATAGAAAATAAATGTCACCTTTCGGAGATTTGTGAGTCGTGTGTCCCCCCCTTCCCCCCCTTCGAGTGTTGCTTTTTCCTTCTCCATTTTTGGGGAAGCAGTTTAGGGCTGGGAACCCTCTTTGGCACTGAGCCTCTGCTACACATTTTCATCAATGTGGGAATCTCTGTGGGCTAGCAGGTCCCCAAATGTTACTGGAGATTGAAGAACACAGTAGAATTGTAAGATGTACAGATAAATGAGTATTTGGATGCTGGGGCTGTAAAATAGAACTCTGAACCTTATCGATATTTCTATTTGGCAGATGATCGTTTAATCCACCAGGATTGGTAATCGCCCAGGCAGTCATGAACTTTGCCTCCTTGCACAAAGGAGAGAGATTCTGTTTATTTCAGGAAAACATTATTGCTCATCTTATTGCAAAACAGGTCAAAGGGAGAGCTCATCTAAAGATTTTCAAGAGCAGTTTGACTAAATCTGTGTCTAAAAAGGGTTGAAGAGGTCTCCCTTCTCCTCCCTCTCCCCACCCTCCTTTCTGCCACCCCCCACCCCCCCATTTGCTAGGAAGTGTTAACTGTCTGGGACTTCTACAGAAAGGATGTCTCTCTGGGTTTTTGTATAAGACTGACTGCTCCTTTATGGAAGCTTTTCCCTCTGAACTCTACCAACCATCCCTAGTGACACCTTTTCTTGAACTCTACCATGATATCTCATTTCTAACCAGAATTGGATGCTCTCTGAGTGAGCTGCTTACTGTGGTAGATATTATTTTTAGTGATTGGAATATCATCCAAAAGTGTGATTACATGTTTGTAAAATGTCAACTTGAAAACTAGCAGTCTTTGTTAGACAGTGAGTCAGTCTTTCTCAATAGCAACTGTTTCAATGGCCAGGATGGGCTAACAGTTCATTTAAACTGCCATTCAGTCTCTCTGTTTCATATGTAATAATGGAAACCTTAATTTGAAAACATTTATTCATTATAGTATATTATTTCCAGAACTTCCCAATTTTAATTTGAAAAGTGCACTGCATAGAGATCAATCTGAACTTAAAGCCTCTCTTTAAAAAGAAGAAAGGAAAAACGTCTGCAGTTAGTGAGTTCTTGTGATTTATCCTATAAGCTCTCAAGGATGGATGGCGGCAAGAGAGTCTCAGGAACTACCACTCAAAGCTGTCTTGGAAAAGGACCTGGTGGTTCTTCTTTGTGGACGCTGGATCATTAGGGACAGCGTGGTCATGGTGATGCAGTCAGACTTTCCAGCAGTAGTTTAGGGCTCTGACTTCACTGCGGGAACACTGCAAGGAGAAGGACTGACTGAGTGTGGCAGTAGTGATATGCTGCTGGTTTTTACCCACTTTTCTGGGATTTTCTCTTTGGAAATATTATATTGTAGACTACTAGAAGTGCATAATTTGAACTGCAAATGGATTTAAGAAAAAGAAGCATTGAACTAGTGGGTTTTATACATATGCTTAGATGTCTGTAAATGAAAAGAAACTGTCAAGTCATTTGGACCCATGCATGATTCCTCAGTATATTGTGAAAGGCAGGCTTTGGAAAGTTTATGTTTGAAAAGAAAAAGTCATTGGAACCAATAACCTTTTTTTTCTGTCTTTAAGCCTGTGCCCAGTTCTGTATGCATAAGTAAATCTTAAAAAAAAAAAAAATATCTTAAAAAATAGTTTGGCTGTTGTAGTAATGAAGCAAGTTACTTTAACTAGAGAATTTGATAGAAACAAGGGACCTTTCTATGTTCCTTACATATGAACGGTACGTAGATGTCATTTAAGAAGGAAAGATCGATTAGGTTAGCAGAAGGTGGGTGTCATAGGAGGAATTTGAATATGTCCCTCAATGCCTAATTCTGGGACTCTGTACATCTAGTTTTAGTGCAGTTCACTGTACAACATGATTACCTATGTTATCATTACAGTGGTCCCTTGAAAAAGGCAGGAAGTAAGGTGCCAAGCCATAAGCAGTAGAAAATTCTAGTCTGACCCTCCTCAGATTTAACTCTGAATAGACTGCTGGTGACCAGAAGTCTTACCAGTATGTAAACAGTCAGTTATTATGTACTGTATTGTTAAAGTAAACTAGAGATAAGAAAACATCATTAAGAAAATCATAAGAGAAAATACATACATAGTAGTGTACTATATACTATATTTATAGGTACTGTAAGGTTGCTTTCTCTTTCTGCAAGAAAATATGACTATAAGTGGGTCCAGGCAGTTCTGGAGTTAACTGTTTAGAAAGGACTTCAAAAGATAATTTAGTTTTGACCTAGGTGGGACCAGTTCTCAAGTGTCCAGAAGCCTCCATTGTCCTGAACCAGGCACAGGTGACCTGGAGTTGCTTCAGGTTGGCAAGATCTCGAGGCTGCCCCAGCCACACAGAGGTCTGTTATTAAGGTTTATAGGGAGTCTGGCCAGGCACTGTACTGTGCTCTTGGCATCAGCTGGCAGTGATCCAGTAGGTCTTATGAGGAATGCCATCAGAGTTCAGATTCTCGTGAGATTATTTCTCTTCTATTGCCAAAAATCAAACTAGAAGTTCTAGCTCTTCTCTTTCTTCTTTTCCAGGTACAATACCTGTCACTTATGCCACCCTAGACAGTAGAATTCCAGTATCACAAAACCATTCTTTCTTGGACCTGAAGCCAAAGTAAAGTTATTTTTTAAAAAGCAAGAAGTAATGAAAAGTCTTTCCTGAAAACAAACTACTCATTTAAGATTTTTATTCAACTTGCCCATACCAGCATGTTAATTCTGGTCTTTGGATCTGATCATTTAGGAAGTCCTTGACTCATATTGAGTTGGCCTCTAAATCTACCTACTAATTTTGCATTCCACAAATATTTACTCGGCACCTACTAAGCTCTTGGGGGAAAGCAGTGAGCAAACCAAGCAACTCCTCCCCTGCCCCCTCTAGTCTTCTTGGGGTTCACATCGTAGTATTTTAGAGAAGTTTCCCATTCAGAGTTTTCTTATTTGAGGACTTCCACCTGTGGCTGGGTGCCCTCCCTGGCCCAGAGGCTGTGTGATGTATCCTTGAATCCCTTTAACCATGTTGTCCTGGTCCAGAAACCACTGTTCCTTTGTCATGGTGTGGGATCTAAGTATTTTTATCATGTTTTTGAGTTGCTCCTTACTTGATCACTGTCCACTGATCAATGTCCCTCAGCCCTGACCACTGGCCTTACTGTCTTGAATGCTGCAGGACTTAACCACCTCTTCAGTGCTGCTCTGTTGAAATTCTCTTTATTCAAATCCAAGCTCCATGACCTTTCATGACTAAGCCAACTCTGGTTTGTATATTTCTGTAGCTAGTACAGCAGACTGACGATCAATCACTGGTAGTGCATAAAAAGACAGATTTTGGGACCTCATCTCAGAATCAGAAATCAGAAAGAGGGAGGGGCAGTCTGATGATCTGCCATACTTGGGAACCTCCTTGCATGCTGTCGTGTGTTAGTCCTAGGGCCCAGCAGGAAGGAGCTCTGTGGCACTGGGGCCAGGGGAGAGCACAAGGACTTGGCTGTGGGAGTTGGACAAATCTGGATTCAAAGCTGGTACTCTGCTGCCACTTGATGTGTTACAACTTGGACAAGATACTAAAACTTTGAGTCACTTATATTGGACCCAAGAATGCCCTTATAAGCTGA